GGGGGGGGGGGGGTGAATAGGGGTATACAAATCTGCCGATCCACCCAAATTTGAAGCAAAATCTGCCGATCCGGCAATGGTCTTGACTAAATTTGGATCCGCTAAAAGCTCTACTAAAAAGTCACAAACCATGCAGGACCCAAACTAAATTGCAAGCAAAATCCACAATCCGAGCCAAAATATTAGATAAATCCACAATTATTATTCATGTTTAAGAATATTCACCATCGCATAAATTTGAATTGCGGTGAATTTACAACTAAGTATTAAATTACTATATTAACAATAATAAGGATTAAAGAGTTAAAATATATTAAAACGTTACTACTTATAAGATCTGCAAATCTGTGTAAAATATTCGCAAAATCCAAACAATTTTTTTCGGTGGAATCTGACAATCCGAAAACCTATTCAACCCCCCCCCCCTCCATACTGGATCTAGCTGTTCTAAATAACTGTCCTTCTGAGAGGGCCCAGTATTTTCGAATTTTGTTCATTTCATCCTGTTTTCCATGATGAAAATAAATATTATCCTGTGCCCCCTAAATTTATTGTGGACCCCTGCTGATGCTGTTTAACCCTTGAGTATAGCAGTTAAAGATGCGGTATAGTCCGATCTGCGCATGCATGTGCACAAAGGAGCCCTCTTTTTATTTACAAACAGTTTATTTAGGTTTTTATTTCATTTTATGTTCTTGCAAAGCTTGATTGTCTCTTCTTAATTTATTATACTCTAGAATCATGAAAATATAAATAGTTGTCGAATAAAATTCAATATTTTAGATACCGAAATGTAAACAAAGCCTTTGTTTACATACAGACTGTACCGCATCTTTAACTGCTATTTTACTCTGTCTAATGCCAGACAATATTTTACTTAATACAAGTCAAGACTCAAGGGGAAAGTAGTGCCACTCACTGGGTTAATCAGACTAGTTGAAGGGTATTGTAGATGGAAATTTTCGAGTGGAAATTTATATACATTTATTAGACCTAACCAGGAACAGCTGCGAGAAATGCAACTTTAGGTCCCTGGCAAGAATCGAACATGCAGCCTTTAATAATTGGGATAAAATCAATAAAAATTTGATAAAGAATCAATGATATAATAATAGAAGAAATTAGCGCACGTTTTCCGGTTTTTGTGAATATCACTTGGTTATCGATTTTCCAATGACAGTCGATGTTAATTGTAAATGCTTCGGTGATCATCGAAAGATCGATTACATATGATCATTGATCAACTTCCACCAGTCATTAATTTACGCCTGGTATTTTCGCACTCCCAATATTTCACGACTGGATTTGACTACAATACATAAAAACCAAAATAATTTACTTACGAAACTTTCTCCTTTATTTATATGCTGTCTTTTTCAGCCAGTGTTATACTGTTATGATTGTTATCAACTTATCAACAAAATCTGTGAATATTTATCACTTGACACTGTTGACACTTTCCCGCAGTTCTCCAAAAATTGGCGCCAAATTTGTCGCAACTCGTATCAATTTACAGTGTCATAATTTCACTTCGTTCGTGTGTTTGTAATGTATTGTTTTTCTTTTGTGATTATTTGAATTAAAGTTTGAGACTTAGCAAGAAATCCTTGGATAAAAGCAGGTGATGATGTATGAGCAACCTGCTAATAAGTTTGTTCTAAACAATCAAAACCGATTAAAGACCTGTTCAAAGTTGATGGCTGAACACTATACGAGTCATTTATATGCACTGGTGTATAAACATCTAACTGTTACCACTCGAAATTTGGAAAATGCAAGGATTTGGACTGTTTATATTTATTATTTTCTTTCTACGTAGTGTTTGCTGTTTTCCACAATATAAACCTGGCGACTTGGCACCCTCTTTTGTAATTCAAACTGAAAGTGGCAAATTTGTTTACAAAGAGAAGGCATCAAATGACAGCAAGAATTCTAATCCAATTATATTCTGTGCATTTAACAAGCATTCTGCATTTTTGAGAGCTTTATGGACTGAAGAGGGCTCAGTAAGGCGGTTACTTGAGCGATCGCCTCGAAACACTCGGTATGTTTTCCTCTCTCTTTCGGAGAATGCAAAACATGATGTGGAATATATGCAGAAGAAAATTTTTGGTGAAATGACAAAATTGTATAATGAGAAGAAAGATAAGTAAGTATTTGTATGCAAGAATACATATTTCTAGATGAGCCAATCAGCACTTGAAGAAAGGCTGAGAAGCATCATCACTCGATCACATCATCATAGATGAACGATTTGTAGTTTTGTACAGGAGTCAAAAGTGAAACTGGGTGTCATTATAACCCTGACCCGCTGTTATTTTGAATGCTCTCCCATGCATTATGTACATTTATTATATGGCAGGCATCACTTCTGTTGAAATGGTGGACTGTGATTGGCTGAGAAGCACTTTCAGTGGTCCATTATT